TTGCATGACTCCAATTCAGATAATAATTACTTATTATCTATCAATAATGTTGTAAATATTATATGAAAATGTTTGCAACATTATTGCTGGGAATATTTTCGCCAACTGAACTACTATTTCACCTTTCAACAATGATGGCATCTTTTATCCAACGTGTTGACAACAATGTTACCAATATCGGACACTCCTCACAGGTGGAAGTACGTGGATGACTGCACTGTGGGGGTTTCAGTGGGCAACACCGCACCAGACTACTCATCGCTACAAGGCACCCTGGACAGGCTACAGGCATGGACTACGGAGAACAAGGTCACCATCAACCACACCAAAACCGTTGTCATGCACATCAATACCGCCACCACTCCAGTGCAAGCCCCAGCAGTCACAGTGGGTGCCCATTCTCTCCAGCTGGTGCAGTCTGCCAAACTCCTGGGTGTAACTATAGACAACAAACTGGACTGGAAGGCCCATGTAAATAACACAGTCAAGGCAGCCTCGTACCGACTCTACATGCTACAACGACTTAGGTCACTTGGGACACCCACGCCAGAGCTGAGGACCATCTACAACGCCTTTATTCTCCCCAAACTAACGTATACGTCACCAGCCTGGTCGTCTTCTCTCAACTCTACCCAACAACGTTGGCTAGAGAAGGTTCAGAAAAGAGCCTGCAGAATCATGCTCGGCGCATAATACTCCGGCTACATCAACGCTCTCTCCACCCTGGAAATGCCATCCCTCAGTGACCTCCACCACCAAGCACTGGAAAGGTTCGGCAGCCAACTAATGCACCACCCTCGTCATCGCCACCTCCTGCCACCGGCAGTCCCCCACCCACCTCGCGCAGTCCGCCACTACAACCAAATTCAGCCCATAAGAGCCCGCACCGATAGATATAAGAATAGCACCATCCCATCTATTGTTAAAATAATAAACATCTCCTGATTTATGTACTGTACAGCACTGTAAATGTATTCAATGCATATTATATCATTCTGTCTAAATCAAATGGAAGTCTGTATATTTTCAGCCACCGGCTGCAACTCTATTAATAAACCGTTTATTATTATTATTATTTTATTATTTATATTGTTGCGTTAGTGTAGAGTTGTAGACCCACCTTTCGTTGTTCCCATGGCATTATTGTATCTTCAATCAAGCCTCCCATTACAGACATTTCTGTATAGTAACTCATACCCTGACGTGGAAATAATTCCTAATGTGAGTAAAACCGTTATATTCTATTGTCTTTATTTGTCAATAGGTTATTATCTTTTAGCCTGTCTTTTATTTATTTAAAAAAAAGTACTCTACTGAAGAAATATCATAATGATTAAGATATGCAATTTTGCAAATATATCATCCATGCCAAGTGTACCCAGGGGTGAAGCTAGCTTTTTTTGTTAGCTGTACATCGATACTGTAGGTATACAAACAATGAATGGTTAAAAGTAAGTACAGGTATATTTTATAAATGATAGCCCAAGAAAGCAATTTCCATTAGGGTCTTCATGTGAGGTTGGGGAGACTAATCAAACAACAATAAATCTATAAAAAAAAATGTACATCACATTCACGGGAGAAAAACCTAGCTTGAGCCCTGGGGGAGGAGGAATGATGAACACCTGATACCAGTTAAACTACACCTGCGCTACCACAGCTGATGTTAATATATCTTCATCTAGTTTCAGTGCGACGACCACCACTATTACTTCAGATGCTTCAATATTTTACCGGTGTAAGTTGGTGTGCTTTTAGCCATTATAAATGAGATATTAGCAAAACTACATAATCGTAAGTTTACCGCACTGATAATACGTTACTGGGAGTAATAAAAATAAAAATAATATAAAGCATTTTACTCAAACTTTTGCTCAGACTTGTCCGCTCAAAGTTTACACAAACAAAACCGAAGCTGTGTAGGGTAGGCTTGTGGGTTGTGCAAACTGTGTGCGACATTTGTGCAAAATCAAGTGCTGCCAGATAATACGATGTCTGCACAAACTTACGCAGATAAAACGGAGCGTGTGTATATATTGGCTGGTTGCTCACTGCAGTGCTCAGTTTTCAACAGTAACAATAGTGTCAACATGTGTGACAATGAGTGACTTTTATAATTATTTCAAATAATTCACAACGGAGTTAATTCTGATCAAACACGCCACGAAAGATCGCTTTAGAAAGTTAAGAGTATGTACAGAATACAGTGACATTTGAAGTAAAAATCACCATTTTGTCTCTATTACTCTTGACGATATTCGCGAACACCACACATTACTATTTTAAGAAATAAAAAGTAAAACGTCACACTTGGGTTTCATCTTAAATAGCTATATAAAGTGATTATTACCAGCATACCCAACATTGGACACTGGCACCCCAGCAGCTAATTCCAATTTCCCACCAGTTGTCGTTATCAGCTGTAGCATCAGTGTCAATGACGCAACTTTTCCAAAGAATTCGGATTAGTTGAATTCATCAAAATCTATCATAGTGAACCGTCACTCATGAAAATTAGAAGTTAAAAATAGTGACAATGAAAAAACACTTTCTTCAGAAGCAAAGTGGAGCCAAAAGCGGACTGGGAAACATGTGAAGACGACCTCCAAATTTTCTGGGTGTGGTACAGAAGACAAATAGCTTGCAGCGCTTGCACTGTGGCAAACACGCTCTTCAGAAATACGAGTATCAAGGTCTATATAGGCCTTGTGAAATATGACCGTAATAAGCAGAGCCAGGGCCGGATTCAGGAGTGGGCAAAGTGGGCAGCTGCCCAGGGGCCTCCACATATTACAATATTTTATTTATTTGTTTATTCATTTGGATTATTTTAATTTTCATTCTTTAAAATTCATGTTTATCTATTCCATCACGTAAAACTATATTCAGCAAGAAGCGTGATAGAAATTAGGCTGGCTACTTGGACTTAAAGAAGCCTATACATGCATTCTTGGACAGAACCATTATTTGAGTAGAGGTTTATCTGATTAATAATGCAAAGAATCATCTCTCTGTAATAACTAATAATATATTCTTTTCTGTGAAGTCTCTTGAAAATTTTTGACATGTGCGGTAGGAGCTATATCAGGGGGCTGGTCAACTTGAAACCACATGAATGACTCCAGTCATGTCTCACTTTTATGTGTGTGTGTGTGTGTGTTGGGAATTTGTACACTATCAATAAATATACCTGTACAGTTTATTAAAAATTTCTCAATGTTCTTATTTCCTCAACATAACTACATATGGCTTCAAAATTCTCCAAAGAAGTGTTCAAATTTCAAAAATTTCCCGGGGGGCTTATAGCGCCCCCCGGAACTCCCAGATGTTTAGGCTCGCTTCACTCGCCACCCCACCCTCTTGGGTAGTTATAACGAGGGGGCCCTCCACAAAGAGGCTGCCCATGGGCCTCCACAGGTCTAAATCCGGCACTGAGCAGAGCACTCTGAGAGTCTGTGCAGACTTAACTGTATAGTGTGGAGTTAAAACGCACAGTTAAAGAAGATAACGTCTTTGGTTTAGGGTTGTCTCTTGTCTGTGCAATTTTTTAATGCAGACAAGTCTGAGCAAAAGTTCAGTGTGTGCGTAGCACACTGCAGTCATATAACGTAATAATAACAATAACCATAGTATACTAGTAATAATTACAAAGGCAGTAATACTGTTAACTGTACAGTAGTAATGAAATTTTTTTAGTAGTATTAATAGTGATAATAGTATAGGAGTAACAATAATAACAATAGCCGTTGTTACGATAGACGTAATATTAATAACTGTAGAACTACTATGAATAGGGGTTGAAGATATTTACTGGTTTCATTGAAATTAGATTTTTTTTTTGAAAATTTAGTTTCAGAATAAAATAAAAAAGAATAAATCATGGTTTTGTTCGTGTTGAAGATGAAACCAGAAGTGTCACAACAACAGCTCCCATTTTTTTTATAAAGGGACTATTAAAATGATATTCTATTTATTGTGCCGTTACTATAATACTAGTGTTTCCTGAGTTATTTCTATAATTGTTTACAGATAAATCTCATAATCTTAATTATTGATGTTACACGCTAAAATACCTTGCCTTAGATAAGTGCAGCATTAATAATATAACGCCAACGTTAAATTATAATTCTAGTTACCACTTATACCATGGTATGGCCTTCATTTTTCTCATAATATAATTTTTTTACTTCTGAAGTTTTTAAAATTCAGGCGTACGAGAGCTACAATTTCAGGGGAGGATCCAGGAATAGCAAAAAGGGGGGCCCCAAGAAATTGTAGGTGAGAGAACATGGCGAGCACAGGGACATTTTGAGGCCATGTGCACTTGATATTAAGCGATATTCTGAAGTCAATAGTAATTCCATTTTATTATACAAAAAACGCCTGAGTACAATACTGCATTGAAGAAAAAGTATTGGAAATTTCTAGTGAAAAGGAGGGTCCGGTCCCCCAGGAACCCCACCTGAATCCGCTCCTGTACAATCATTTGGATAGGGAATAAGAAAATCGTAGAATACTGCATAATCTAAGTCAAAACAAGAACAAACCTCCCATACTTGGCGCAGCGTTCAATGTCAGCTCCTCAAGAAAAGGCCTCCAATTACCAATTTTATTTACGAAGAATCAGTTCATCATTATAAAGAATCAAATAACATAGCATTACCAAACAAAAATATAATGAAAATATATTTGTAAAGGATGTTTTATCCTTCATAAATGACCTGAAAACAAGCGCAATGATGCAGTGACAAACGCGTGTAGCGATCACCACTCCAGCCAAGCGGTTTCGTCATTCAACAGGCTGACCAACCTTACCGAATAAAACAGGCGGCAATCCGCTTATCGATTTTTAAGCTTAAATTATTATGAATATAAATTATATTGCTAATTCTGCATTATATTTCACTCCTCAAATTCAACCAGCAGTTCAATACTATGGACAAACAATGTGGCGTAAGACCACCATCACTGTTGTTGTTGGATATCTTCCTGTTGGTCCCATCTCATTTCCAACTATGGCTACGAGAGAGTAGGACGTACGGCAACACCGCTTTACGAATTTTCGTATTCTTCTCACATTTGTTTAATTTTTCTTGTGTGGAATCCTGTCAGAGACGCAAATGAAGTAAAGAAACGTAAGTACCTCAGTTGTCATGGTTCCAAACTTCATAATCGCTGCGATTTTCTTTGTGTAAGGTTGAGTGTGACAGCTCACTTCGTGTTGCAGTGTGGCGCGCAGCTGTCTGAATCATGATGCAATACAGGAACCTAGATTTCGTCATGGTTTAGAAACCCTCATTCTATCAGAGGTCATGGCAAGACTCACACGTGAAGATCTGAGCGCGTTTTTTATTATGAGTGACCGTTTCAAAGTGTCTTCTAGAGAGAAAATCCCCAGCAATTGAAGGTAAGAAACGAGATTAGTAATATTATTTTACTGATTCGTGCTTACAACATGTAAGGAGTGTGTACAACACTTCCCAATGATAATGTTTGTGACACTAGGAATCACTAATATACTGATTGCAGTGTACAGTATCACGAAAAAAGGGAGTACAAATTTAAAGTTCGCCTGAAAATGTATTGCACCTTTTTGTGTTCAGCAAGTGATGAAAAGTTGTCCTGTTAGAATGGTGATAATGTATTGAAGAAAAAAATATGAATAGAATCTTAAGTGTTTTATTCACATAGAAGTAGCCCAAGTAGGGACATTATTCCCAAGAGTGCCAATGTAAAAACGTTTACCGTTTGTGTGAAAGTATTACACAGTATATGTATTAATGCAATATAGTAACTGAAGACGTTCATATATGTTGTGTGAATAGTAATGATATATAAAATATATGCACAGTAGCTGACATACATTCATACGTACGTACATGTTTTGTGTGGGTGGCATGTTAAAATGCCTCATAGATAAGGTGGAACTCAATTGTGTTAAACAGGTGCAGGTGTTCTGTCCCCGGTTACAGTGTGTTGGTCCTGTCCGTATGTGTTGCATCAGTGCCAGATGCATTGCGTCACTGACCAGGCGTTTCCTTTGTGTTTTGTATATTGCCTCAAATGTTAAGATGGTTCATTTCCGTTAAAATGAGTTACATCAGTGTGTTGCTGTTTTTTTGGGTGATGAATTGCCACTATATAGTTGAGTGGCATCTCGTTTTATTTTATCCGGGTTTGCTTCTTTTATACTCAAATGTAGGCAACACACCGATAACAGTAGGTCTGTATAAAGTAATAATTAGATATAATGCCTTTAGTCTGGTCACCACTGAACAAAATTCGGCATTCCCAGACTTCGACGTATTCATTTAGTTTCTTCTTCGACGGGTTTCTTAACTCGAGCTGAATATGGCCTTGCAATAGGCTTGCTCTATCACTGACGGGTTGTGAGCTCGCTACAAGAGAAAGTATAGGTTTGAGTGCATTGAACCTTCAGTTTATATATATATATATATATATATATATATATATATATATATATATATATATATATATATATATATATATATATATATATATATACAAGAAAGAAAACACAGTTCGTGTTTTCTTCTTTCCTTAATGATATATACCTAGATCACGCGCACCTACAGTGATTTACTTGCATATATATATATATATATATATATATATATATATATATATATATATATATATATATATATATATATATATATATATTTTAAAGAACTTGATGCTACTGTAGAATATTTTAAGTGACTGTATCCAGCCAATTTTTGTATAAATGTGGTAGATATTGATTGCAAATAGATGATACAGTACTGTACTTACATAACACACACACACGCAGGGGTACCTAGTGACAGGTGAGACTATTGCGCTATTCTTCTTGCAAGGTAATAGAGTACTGTATAATTACAATGTTGGCATTTCAGATAGAATTATTATCATTAATATTTTTTTTTTAAATACAATAATCCTTGCTTACTAATTTAATGTCAGCAGTACGTATTTGAACATGTTATTCCATGCAATTGTTGTCAAGCCGCTTATTTTGATACTACGTAATATTTATCATAGTTTTTACGCTGTTGATTTTATGTAATTGAAATTAAACCTTAGATGTGTAAACATTGGGATCATATATACGTAATGGTGTAAGTTCCAGTGATCTGAATTTTAGTGTCGCCTTATGCTCGTCGCGCGAGGATGCCAAGCTGGGTGGGGCGATCTACGTGACCAGTCTTGTGTGCTCATTTCTTGAACATCAGGTTTTGGTTAGACCGTAACGCTCCCACATTAGTGATGGTAATCGCCCAAAATTTGTACGAACACCTGTGAAAGGTAAGGATGGTGATCGGAGCAAGCAAGATATTTAAATATGTATGTGCGCTACAGCAAGCCATCGTACCTTTTGCAGGAAAATGCTCATATTATGAACAGAAATATTTTATTTTGTCCAGAAATATTACTGATATGTAGTATATTACCCAGGATAGTAAATAGCACTTAACACAGATTCCAAATTTTTCAACTATCGAAACTTTAATCGCATTTTAGTTGGATTATACAAGTGATGTTTGGTGTATTCCTGCAATATGTCAAGGACGGAAGAATGTGTATACTGTACAGTGAAAATGGGTCCCATTGGGGGCAGCGGGGATACAACATGGATTACTAAACCTTCGGTAAATAAGGAGGCAGTCCACTGGAAGTCTATCGCCTTCACGGTGAGGGGGCAAGGCTGAAAATCTTGAGCCTTCACGTTAATTAAAGATTATACCCATTCCTGGCCACGAACCTGTGATCCTTAGGGCAGGAAGAGAACGCTGTACTCAGTTTGAATCACGAGACTGTTATTTTAGGGTGTGTCATTACATCGTAAGTCGTATTGGCCGGCGAGCTTAGAAAGCTCGGCGATTTTCATAATTGTCCCGAGTGAGGCGCAGTCTACGTGATTCCACAAACATTTTCTTCGCCTGGGGATGTAAGGCCTACGTGACTATCCAGTCGTGTCCTGAGTTTAAGTTGTGAAACCTGCATGACTTAACGCGGTTTTATTCCTGGTGTGTGGGTTTAACATTGCGTAACTTTGCGACCATTGTTGTGAGTGAACGTTGGTGGGTGCACCTTACTGAATCTGAAACAAAACTGGTGAACTATTCTCATGCCATTACTTACCAGTATAGTACTAACCGTAACTCCTTGTTTAAAAGTATTGATTGGGAAAGTTGTTGATTTCGAAGGTAGGTTAAGAAGGTATCCCCGCAATTGCTGTGAATGTTCTTTTGAGTACAATATTCCATTTCAACCACCCAAATTTAGTTTTAATGGATATTTCAAATTTCTTAAACAAACCATTAATCAAAATTGGCTGTTCCAACTATGCAAATCATGTTGAACAACATTTTGAGAAGTTTTTGTGTGGCCCGATCATAAACATTTTTTTTTAATGTTTACTGTAATCCCGAGGAGCCCGACAGTCCAGTAGATATAGCGATCGCCTCCTGTTCCGGGGGTTAGTCGCTTGATTTCCGAGTGCTCCCAGTTCACCCAGCTGTAAATGGGTACCTAAGTTTACAACTTGGGGAAGTGAATGCGGTCGAGTGCAGATACAGTGTATCGAAGGCTTAATATAGAATGTGCTGTATCCACACTGTCCCTAAACGGGCAGTCATGCCTATGGGAATCACTTTCACTGTAATCGTATAAGGCCTCTTTCACACTTCCCGTTTGCGACTTAGAAATCAATGGAGTTTATTGAGACCTTTCCCATGGACGTACACGAAAAAAAGTTGTTGATGACAGATTACGCGTATATTACTGTAGACGACTGTTACTTCCAAAACGCTTCGCATAAAAATACGCCGAGCGTTTTTGAATTCTTGTGGTAATGGAGGATTCCAAACGAGAATTGTTTTGTTGCGCGACAGTTGCATTTCAGCTGTGGTTGAATGAATACTTCTGCAAGTGTCTATCTTTTTTTTGTACGTATTATTATGTAATTGTATATCTGAATATACAATATAGATATCTATGACTATATATATATATATATATATATATATATATATATATATATATATATATATATATATATATATATACAGTGATGAAGATAAATCCTGCTAAACGCTCACAGGAAAAGGGTTTTAAATACTGAAAGTGTAGTGGTGATGTTTACATTCTGTTTACCTGATCGAGTATGCGTTAGGTAAACGTCAGCAGACACTCCAAGATTGGCTTGGGCAGGGCTAAACCAAAGCTTATAACAGGGGTTCTCAACCAGGGGGGAATTCCCCCCAGGGGGGGGGGGAAACTGATTCGGGAGCAAGAGATATGTTCGATGAGAAATCAATCACAGAATTTTGGCTCTTGATGTGCGATTCCTACCCAAAAGTGGCAGAAAGAGCTATCCGTGCATTGCTTCCGTTTGTGTCGACATATCTTTGTGAGTCAGGCTTTTCAACTCTGTTGCAAATTAAAACGAAGCAACGTAGTAGATTAGAGGTAGAAAATGACCTGCGTTGTGCCCTTTCAAGCACTCCTCCGCGTATCCCAGAATTGGCGAAGAAAAAACAATCACAGGTTTCTCATTGACTGTAATCTTCATCTGAATAAAATTAATTACAAATTTACAATATCCTGGTATTCTATTGAACTTTTTGTTTATTGCATTATGCTTCAGTTTGGTCTGTTAAGTAATTCATTATAAATAAAAAAAAACTATTTTACTTTTATTCAAGTTTTATAAATCCATCAACATTTTCAATTGGCATTTAATTTGTAAAACTCCACTATAAAAATAATCCATGTAAAATTGTAAATGTATATGTACTAATATGGAAAAAATAAAGGATTTTCAGTATTATATGCATATTATTTGGAATGCACTTTTTGAGGCAGACAATCTTGGAAAGGAGGGGGGAATGACATTCTGACATATGGTGAAAGGGGTGCATGAGGCAAACAAGGTTGAGAACCACTGGCCTATAAGATCCAGGAATCTATTTTTCTGCCTTTAGCCCCTGCACTATATTCAAGTTGTATTCTAGCTATATATATATATATATATATATATATATATATATATATATATATATATATATATATATATATATATATATATATATATATATATATATATATATTATATATGTGTGTGTGAAAAAGGGAAACAATGGAGCACCTTTATTCAAGACATCTTCAGAGGCAACTGAATTACAAGGACCGAGAGGGGCTTAAGTACACAGGGTGACCTTACTAAACATAAGAAAATAATGAGTCTGCAATAGGCCGGTTGGCCTATGCATGGCAGCCACTGTGCATGACATCCACTAATCCGCACACCAACACAAAAGGAACTTAAAAGAAAGGGCGACGTAACTAGTCATGTTCCGTCAGGTAAAAAATATGAGACCCACTAATCATCTATCCTACATC